CAGACTGTACTACTTTCACATAACGTCTTATTTTCTCTGGTCTCTCCCACATTGCACTAAGTCCTAGTGAGGAGCTAAAGCAACTGTATGCCTTCATTCAATGCACTGTTCACCCCTAGTCCACCCAGAGAGAACACCAGAAACCTGGGACCTCACAGAAAAACAAGCTTCCACCCCTTAGCACCAGGACTCTCTCACCAACCCTGTTCCACTCTCTGCTATTGTTGCTAGGTGTAGGCGACTCCTTGTGACTCAATGAAAAACAGATCCTGAACTTCTGATGCTTATTGGTGATTTCCAGGCCCCAAGGGAGCTATGGTGGCTGAATGATAAGAAGCTGCACGGCAATCCCAAAGGCACGTGGTTTGAATCCACCAGCTGCTCCACAGGAAAAGGATGCTCAATCTCCTCCCAGGCAATTTACAGCCTCTGAAAATCCCCTGGAGTTAGCTCTGACTTTACAGCATGTGCAACAGCAATGGTAGCACAGCTGGGCCAAAGGCCAGCAGATTCTGAACTTAAGCCCCCCATTTGGCCCTAGACATGGAAGATGGGCTCCTTAGGTCAGAGAACAGTCCAATACAAGCAGAAAAAAAAAACAGAGGGAAGGCGCCTGCCCTGTGCCAGAAGCTGCTTCCCATCTGCTGTGTGACCCCACAAATCACCTCCCCTCTTAGGGCCTCCTTTCTACCACTAGCCAGCCTGCATTTCTGGTCTCATTCATACTGTGGTGACTCCCCCCACATCTGTTTGCAGCTCCTGCTATTGCAGTTTGAGGAGTTGAGCTAAAAACCACTGTGAAGCCTACGTTCACCCAGCATCTCCTCCTAAGGGGCTCAGAACTAAATCTGCAGCCTGTCCACTTGAAGGTAATTATGGGGCCAACAGTGTAGTGTATGAAGACCATGTCAACATCTGGTTCTCCAGCAGGAGCATCAGAGCCCAGCCCCGCATGGTGATTGCACAGGCTCCTGATTGGACAGAATGCTTTGCTTCTGTTCTCCCACCAGATTTGAAAAGTGTCCTGCCTTTCCTCTGACTCTTTGCACAGCCCAGGGCCTCTTTCAGCCAGTGAAAACTCTGCTCCCTCTCCATCTGGAGCGTCTAAGCCCATTTCCTCATATGCATGCAAAAGCTGAGCAGGGAATAAGGAAGACTGAAGAATTGATGCCTTTGAGTTATGACGTTGATGAAGAATCCTGACTACAGTTTGTATTGCCAGAAGAACACATGATCTGTCTTGGAAGGGGTGTATCCATAATGCTCCTGAGAAGTAAAGGGGGTGAGACTTTGTCCCATACGCTTTGGATATGTGATCAGGGGAACCAGTCCCTGAAGGGGATATCATACAGAGTAGAGGATCAACAACAACAGAAAAGATCCCCCTGAGGTGAAATGACACAGCAGTTGCAACAATAGGCTTAAACAACATGTTTGTAGTTGTGAGTGTTGTGCAGGATCTGACAGCGTTTCATTCTGTTGTCCACCGAGTCACTATGAGTTTCACCAATACATCAGCACCTTTCAAGAACAAGTCCATTTCAGGGGTTCCTATGTGCTGATATGTCCTCTTGTCCTCAGCACCATCCCAGGATCTGCACTAGCACCTGACATTGTGCCATTAGGCATCCTGCCACCCAGAGTCTGCACACTGACCAGGGAGCAGCAGAAGCTTGGTGTGGCCATCAGCGATCATGTCACGTGGTGTCAAGTTCAGCCTGAACATGTGTGGGACAGACTGCATGCCTTTAGGGCTTCATCCCACATCCCCTTTCTGGTCACCGATTTCTCTTCCTGGGTGGCATGATTTATAAGAAGATATGCTGCTAACCCCCAAAGGTGGCAGCTCTCAGGAGGTTCAAACAACTGAGGGACAAAGATGGGTGACATCCTCTGAAAGCCCATTGAGGAGTCAACTAGGAGTGTGTTCTCATGGCAAAGAGTTTGAGCTGAAAGCCCCTGCTGCTTTTTCTCAGCTCCTTGCTGTGTGGAGGGAGGGAGGAGGAATAGCTAACCTGTGTGAAGCCTCCTGCTTCTGTCTTCCCGGTTTCAGGGAGGGAGAACTGAGCATGGCTTCTAGGAACCCTGGCAGGAAGCAAAAAGGCTGGGATGGCAGAGGAGATAATGGGACAGCATGGAGGTCCTACTGTGGGGAAGGATGGCCCGATGTAGGGTTTGGAGAGGTCGGAGTCTGAGGAAACCATGCGACTGAAGGAGCAGGGGGTAAGGAGATGTTGGGGTGAAGCCAAGTTCATTCATCCAGGTCCTAGGACTCCCCTCTCAGTTCTGCTCCATAGTGGCCGAGAGACCCTTGTTTTGGGCCCCATGCCTCTCAAGTCTTTGAGGCCATTTCTTTCCTGCTCAGAGGATGGGTGTCATAACACATTTAACTTCAAGCTGGTTTCCATGTCTTTATTCCCCGGCCATGTCCCTTTCATAGCATGGGGCTCTGCTGGGAGAAGCTGGCCCTAATGGGCCTGGGGGGTTGGCCCAGCCGGCCACAGACCCGTTCTGCTGCTTAGATCCACTGTAAGCCGCGTGGCAGTGCTGACTCAGGAAAGTTCATCCACTAGTGCGCTGTTTAGACAGTTGTAGAGGTAGATATACTGCTCCTGGGGGCAGAGGTAGTGTGAGAAGCACACCTCACTTTCCCAAATCCCGCCCTGAAAGGCTTCCCTAGGTGTCTCCCAGAGCCTGGGAGTCTAGACCCGTGGGAGCGCACAGCGCCACCTGGTGGCCATGCGGCTAACCCGAAGCCTTTGGATAAAGATGGCCGCAATCCGCATCCTTTCAGGCTCAGAGGGTCATCACAAGTTTGACAAGAGCTGGGCCAGGATCTTCCCCACCTCCCTGTCCTTTCCCACACTGGAGCCCCACTTTGCCTCTCACCAGCGTTGGGGTCATGAGACGACAGGCCTGCGACTGCTGTAGGGCCACGTTAAAGACGTCCACGATGCACTCAGCACCTGCTTGCTGCAGCAGCTGCTCCAAGGCCAGGAAGATGCCCAGCTGGGCCATGCCCCTGCTGCAGTGGGACCAAGGTTGGGTGGGTGCTTCTCGGGGTTGGGATATCTATGGGAAGTATGGAAAACACCCACCCTGTCTGGGAACTGGAAGGGACTGGAGGGAAGGGGTCCATTCCTGCTCTAGGCTTAAGAAACCTGACGCCTTGCCAGAAAGACACGGAGGGGTCCTGACTCCCACTCCCCAGCCCTCTGTGCACAGCACCTGGAGTGGCTTAGCAGCGTGCCCGGCTTCTTGCTCTTGCCCCGGGAGCAGCACTGACCCACAGCCGTCAGGAAGGGCAGCAGGGCGGTGGTGGTGGGCAGCTCATGCCCCGGATCCCAGGACGGAAACTGCAGCCGCTGTACCTGCCTCTCTTTCCTGCTTTTATCCTGGAGGCAAAGAGCCAGCTGGTCAGTGCTAGTGCCTGGGAGGCAGAGGGGGGCTGGTACAGAGTAGCCCACCTGCCCCACTCTCTGTGGCCCCAGCACCTACGTGTGTGACCTTGAGCACAGTGCAGGGCCAGCCCGCCGTGTTGTTCTCGGCCACCCAGTGCACAGTCACCACATCCGTGACGATAGGATGCATCTCTGTGGGGCAGAACTCCTAGCCAGGGACAGCGGGTGCCGGGTTAGGGACACTAGGAAAGCTCCCCAGGCCCTGACCTCAGGCTATTCCCACTCTACCCGACTCCTCTGTGCCCTCTCCTCTATCCTATCCCTCCTTCCGGCCCCCTCACCTGCTCCTGCACGTTGGGTGGGCACAAGGAGACCAGCACGTGGGCCCTGTGCTCCCACACCAGCTCCCAGAGCTCCCTCGGCCGGGTCGGGCCTCTCAGAACCACGTGGTCTCGTCCAGAAGGACCGCCCTGCAGAGCACAGCTCATCAGCTCTAGAGGCTGAGGGCAGCCCTCTCCCACAGCCCTGGGCACCCCCAATCCCAGCATCATCTCACAGGAAAGAGCCAGGCTTCGGGCATCTCTTCTGAGGGATTCTCCTCCAAAGGAGAAAACAGAGCTTGAGAATGATCGTCTGTGAGGGGAGAGTGAGGGTGAGGCTGCCAGTCATGTCAAATGCCTCTGCCCCTGCTAGGCCCCCGCCATTGGACCTCAGTGCCCATCAGCGGCACTCACGCGGGACGCTGCTGTCCTGCGCGTAGCCAGGAGGGGGCGCGAGAGAGCCGGCCTCTTCCTTAATGGTCTGGAGCAGGAGCTGCGGAGAGATGGGGTGTAAGGCAGGGCAGAGGTGCCAGCAGGGCGGAGGGAAGCGGTCCTCGGCCACCTCCTGCCCTGCAGCTTACCTCGTACTCCTTCAAGTAGCCGGCGTTGGCGTTGGCCGCCCTCCTGGCACAGGCCTGCGCCAAGTTCTTCACCGAGATGGGCCGGTACCTGGAGGAGGGGTGGACAGGGGAGAAGGCACTCCAGCTCCCCCAGCTCCCGCGCCTAGTCGTCTCCTCTCTGCCCAGGGACAGGAGTCGGGCCCTGTTGGTGGGAGGGCACAGGGGACCTGCGCCCACCCCCACAGGGGCGCCCGGGGAGCCGAGACCTACTCTGAGGTGTCCGCGGGCCCCTCCAGAATCTTGTGCAGGAGGCAGCTGTGCAGGAAGATGTACTGGCTCTGGCGGGGGGAGGGACCAGCAGAGGACTATTCCAGGCCCCCCGCCAGCAAGAACGTGGGAGGAGGGGCCCATTTAGGGACCTCCCCCTGCTGTCCCACCTTGCAAACCTGCCAGGGCTCTGTCCCCCCCTCACCGTCTACAGAGGGGAACCAGGCGCCCAGAAAGGTAGTTAATGACATGTTTGACATCCCCCGCAACTCTCATCTCTGAGAGCCTGTGTGTGTCCCCCATGAGTTCTGTTGCCTGGTCTCTGTGACCCCACAGCCACTGCCCACTCACCCCAGGCTCCCACCACTCCAGGGGCTCCCATTCCAGGCTTCACCCATTCCAGGGTTCCCCCACCCAAGGTTCCTCCACACCAGGGTCCCCTCATTCCAGGGTTCTCCCTCTGCTGTGTCCCCCACACCAGGGTCCCTATATTCCAGGGTTCCCCCACTCCTGTGTCCCTCCACTCCAGGGTTCCCCCACTCCTGTATCCCCCTTCCCGGGTCCCCTCATTCCAGGGTTCCCCCACCCAGGGTCTCCCCACTCCAAGGTCCCCTCACTCCAGTGTTTCCCCACTCCTGTTTCCCCTTTACAGGATCCCCCCATTCAAGGGTCCCTCCACTCCAGGGTCCCCTCACTCCAGGGTCCTCTCATTCCAGGATTCCCCCCTCCTGCATCCCCCCTTCCAGGATCCTCCACGCCAGGGTCCCCCCCCCCCCCGGGCTAACTCGCTCCACCTTGGCCCTCACCGGGGTCTGGATCATGAGGGGCCGGTGCAGCCGCAGGGCATGCACAGCGTTAAACACATCCACCATCTGCTCCTGCTCCAGCTGCTGCAGCAGCCTCATCAGGGCCACGAAGGTGCCGGTCCGGCCCACGCCCGCGCTGTGGGACAAGCCCTGCAGAGCTGAGTGGCGAGCGGGACTCCCCGTGTTCCCTGCGACCTCGGAGCCTCTTCCCCAGCCTCCCGCAGTCCAGGGCCAGCGGCAGCTCTCACCTGCAGTGCACCAGGATGGGCCCCGGGCCCTTGAAGGCGCGCACCTGCTTCCGCACCAGCGCCACAAAGGTGAGCAGGGCGTTGGGGCTCTCAGGGATGCTGTGGTCAGGCCAGGTCGTGAACTGCAGCTGCCTCACCCTCCGCTGCTGTTGTTCTGAACCCTGAATCAGAGGGTCAGAGCAGTTGAGGACGCAGGGCTTCTACCTACCGCCCTCACTGGTCCCAGCCCTGGAACTTGCCTCACCAGCTCCCTGGGAAGACACCTCCCCCCTCAGATGGGAGGTTTCCCCCTCACTGGAGCCTGTGTCTCTCCTCCTTCTGGACGCCTTCTGAACTCTGAGAGCTTACCTCTGTAAAGGTTGCCCTAGACAGAGGGGCCATTCTAGCCCTGCTTCCTGTTCTAGGAGGGCATCATGCGGAAGGCAGATGGACATAGGGACTGGGTACAGAAGGGAGCCTCTCTGTACAACCTCACCTGTACCCTTAGCCCCTCTCTCTGCCTCACTGTTTTTGTGTACTGTTGAGTCAAAACCTGTTCATAGCTGACCCTCCAATGGGTTTTAGAGGCAGTAAATCACATGGGAGTTGATTGCTCATGGTTCTCCCACAGAGCAGTTGGTGGATTTGAACCACATACCTTTTGATTGACAGCACAGCTCCATACCACTAGGCCATAAGATCTCCTTTGTGCTTCACTTCCCTTCCCTAACCATCATCTCAACCTCTGGTATGGTCTACAGGGAGTTACGCTGCCAATTTAAAGGCCACACTTCTCTGGTGGTTCAAATCCACCAGCCACACACAAAGGGAGAAAGATGAACAATCTCTTTCTATGCAATTTACAGCCGTAGAAAACCAAGGAAGAGTCAGATGTGGGCTGGTTCCAACTCCATGGTAGTGAGAATAAGGGAGAGAAAGAGTCGCCATCTTGAGGAGCCCTTCAGGAGTGGCACAGAGATTAGGGTTCAAACCCACTCGTTGCTCCACTGGAGAAAGACGGGACAATGTACTTCTGTAGAGACTGACAGCAGTGGAAACACGTGGGCAGTTCCGGTTCACCTGCTGGCTTGCCAGCCATGAGTCAGAATTGATTGGATGGCAGTGGATTTAGATTTAGCCACTGTCATCCCAAAGGGATGCAGGGGCCCTGGGCAAGGGTCCAGTGCTTGAGGTCCTTGGGGACCTAGGAAGTGAGGTACTCTTCTCCGGAAGTCTCAGCACTGATGCCCAACCCATCCCGCCCATCTCCCTGGGGCACGCACGTGCTGCAGCTGGAATTCACGCCTGGTCCACTCATCCTCTGGCTCTTCAGTCAGGAGGTGAATGGTGATGGGGCCGTAGGTGACAGGGATGGAGTCAGCCGGCCAGTAATGCTCACACAGTACCTGGAGCCAAAGGGTCAGGACAGGCAGCAGGTGATTATGGGCCCAACCCTATCACCACAGCCCCTAAAACTTACCCAGCCCCAAGCCTCTCCACCCATCTTTTTTTTTCTATAATTATATTTTATTAATTTTCATAAACATTTACAGAGATTTTGGGTTTCCA